TTTTTACAGAGAGGAAGGGAGGGATAGAGAGTTAGAAACATCGATGAGAGAGAAACATCGATCAGCTGCCTCTTGCACACTCCCCACTGGGGATGTGCCCGCAACCAAGGTACACGCCCTTGACCAGAATCGAACCTGGGACCCTTGAGTCCGCAGGCCGATGCTCTATCCACTGAGCCAAACCGGTTAGGGCTATATTTAAATTTTTAAAAATATATTTATAATTGGTTTCAGAGAGGAAAGGAGAAGGAGAGATAGAAACATCAATGATGAGAGAGAATCATTGCTCGACTGCCTACTGCATGCCCTCACCCACACTGGGGATTGAGCCTGCAACCTGCATGACCCTGACTTGGAATCGAACTGTGACCTCCTGGTTCACAGGTTGACACTCAACCACCGAGACATGCCAGCCAGACAATAGTTAAAATTTTACCCAGCATTTCTAGTTTATCTTATATAGCCTTATTTTTGTCTGCTTAATTTACTAGTTTGGGATGCAACTATCTATATATATAAAAGCCAAAGTGACCATTCGACTGGTAGCTATGACACACACTGACTACCAGGGGCCAGATGCTCAATGCACAGGCATGGAAACATGGAACAGATTGATGAATCTCAGAGGGACGGGGGGCAGGCGGGAAGAGATTAACCAAAGATCTTATATGCATACTAGAGGGCCGCTGCACGGATGAATCCGTGCAGCAGGCCTCTGACATCTCCCGGGGGGTCCCAGATTGTGAGAGGGCGCAGGCCAGGCCAAGGGACCCTAGTAGTAAAATATCTCACTATGACTATCTATATATACTATATAAAAGCCTAAAGCGACCAGCTGACTGGCCAGTAGCTATGACGCGCACTGACCACCAGGAGGCAGATGCCCGATACAGCTTGGCAGCTGCGGTTCTTGCGTGATGCATCTGGAACCAGAGAGGAGGGAGCCCGATTCCAGGGTGCGTCACCTAAGAACCACCCTCTCACGATTCGGAACCCCTCGGGGGATGTCGGAGAGCCGGTTTCGGCCCGATCCCTGCAGGCCCCAGGCCAAGGGACCCCACTGGTGCATGAATCTGTGCACCGGGCCTCTAGTAGATTTAGAATTCCTTATCATTTCATCTTTGGTTTTTATACTTCAAGTTGTATACAAGTTCATGATTGTATATATCTTCCTGATGGATTTTTCCTTTTCTTAATATGTACTGTTGCATTTTTTATTAAAGACTTTGGTCTTCCATCTGTCCAATAATAACCTACATCAGTTTTCTTTTTCCATTTCTGGGCAGTCTTATTTTTGGTATCTCTATAGAGAATATATAAATGATTTTGTTTTTCATTCAAATTGGTAGGTCTCTGTGTCTTTTAATAAAGATCAATCCATTTATACCTACTGTGAACTATACATATATTTGGAACTATTTCTACTTCTTTTTTCTATTTATATTTCCTTTGCTTTATCATTATTTATTATTATTATTATCATCACTTTTTTAAGCTTTCCTGTCTTCAATATTCCCTTTTCCCCTCTCCTGCTGGTTTGGAAACTGTAAACTGTACTTCTATTACTTTAGTTACTTTTAGTTTTTTATCATATGTATTTAATGATACGTTGTTCTGAATTTACTTTATTTTTCTATCTCCTCCTGAACATGACAGAGACCTTATCATAGTATATCTTCCCACTGAACAAAACCCCTCCTATACGTACAACCTGTTTTTTGTTACTCTCTAGAACTACATTACTCAATTTGGTAGCCATTAGCCACATGTGGCTTTTGAGTCCTTGATATGTAACCAGTCTGAAATAGATGTACCCTAAATATACAATATATTTTATACTGATTACATGCTGAAATAATAGTTTAGACATACTGGGTTATCTAAAATGTATTATTAAAATTTAATTTTAAATATTCCTTTTTTAATGCAACTAGAAAATTACTTATGTGACCAGAATTACAATTTTATTGGATAGTGCTACTCTAGAACTTTAATTTTGTTTTAAATGCACCTCCTAAAAAACCCCTAATTATCTTTCTGCTATTAATAATTAATAACATTTATCATTTCACCTAATTAAAAATTCTTCACTCTAAAATAACAGTTTACCTGGATATAACATGGTATTGCTTTAGTATTTTTTAAGATATTCCATTTCCTTCTAGCATCAATTGTTGCTAATGAGAAACTTTCTGTTAGTTTATCATACCTCTGTAGGTTATCTGGCTTCTAACTTTGGTGACATTTACGATGCTCTCTTTATCTTTGATATTCTAGTTTCACCACAACCTATCTAGATGTGGATTTTTTTTTCTTTAACCTACTTGACATTCTAGATTTTACTCTTGATGAAAGGACTCAGGTCCCTCTTGAATGCTAAGAATTCTTTGTCTCTGTGCCCCTCTGTCTTCAAAAATTAGTTCTCCACCAATCCCTGCATCTTCTTTTTTTGTAATTCTTATACATTTATTGGAGTCTTTCAATTAATCCTCTATATCTTTTAACTATTCTTTCATATTTGTATCTTTTTTCTGTGTTCTGTATAAAATTTTTAGTACTATTTTCCAACCCATTAATTCTATCACCAATGGTATAAAGGGTATATTTATCCCATCTACTGAGTTTTACATACCAACTACAAAGAATTCTAATTGGTTCATTTCCACATTGACCTGTTCTTGTTTCATTTATTCTGTTTCATAATTTTTGAGCTCCCTTAAAATAGAAAGTACCCCTTAACTTATTTCTTTGAGCATCCTAAAAATGCTTTAAAGTTTCTTCTAATCAACGGAATACTATGCAGCCGTTAAAAATATCATCCCATGGATACTAATATGGAATGATTTCTAAATATGTTTTGAAGTGAAAAAGCCAAGGTACGTAATAGTATGTATAGAATGCTACCATTTATATAAAAGTGTATGTGTGTGTGTATATGCTTGTATATGGACAAACTATCTCAGAAAAGATAGCAATAAATTGGTAATAGTGGTTGCCTCTGGGGAGGGGAACTGGGTGGCTAGGGGACAGAGGTGGGAGATAGACTTACTTTTCACTGTTTACCCTTTTGTACCTTTGAATTTTGTACCACGTGCATGTATAACCTAGTCAAAAAAAATAAAAATAAATAAAATAATTTATTTTTTAAAATAAAGTCTTTGTTGGACTACTCCATAAATTAATTTCATCCAGAGAAAATATCTGTGTTAGTCGCTGACTTTGGTATGGTATTAATATTAGATGTCTTCATGAGTTTTGCGATTTGGGTTGTAGGCACATTTTGAGTAGTAAAAGGTTGTTTTTTTGTTTTTTTCTCTCTACCTATTTAATGGTTTTATAGTTGGCCCCACTTGGATTACTAGACCCCTAATCGACAACTAGACCTTATAATGATATTAAGGCCTGCAGTTTCATGATGATATTGGAGCTATCACATCTATTCAACCACTGACTCAGTAATGGCTTCATCAATTTCTGGTCATGAGTCTGTGTCTTTATCAACTAAAACTATAGCCCCGGTAGTTAATAGCTTTTTCCTTTTTTCAGCCTTTCACAAATGGGATATACAACAAAACCCCTGGCTTCATGTAGTAGTTCTGGTTTCTGCCTCACATGAAGCACTTTTAGCACTTTTGATTCCTGACAGGAGCCAAACGACTGCATGTCAATGCCAGACAAACCCAGTGGGCTTACGGTTTAAACACTTGTAGCAATTTTGTGTCTGTGTTCAATTTCTGGCCCACAAAGATGTTTATTGTTTCACAGCCTGGGTATATCTTTTGTGCTACTTAATCTTTTGTTCTATGTGTTTGGAGCATCGGTGTTACATTAAAACTCAGTAGGTCATCTTGACTAGAAGTAATTTCAACAGTTCTTTTTTTAAAATTAAAAGTAATAATTTAAAAAATAATATAATCTCTACATAAAGTTTATAAAATTACTCAAAATCCATACATTCTAACTCATCCACTGCTAGCATTTTAAAATATTTCCTTCTAATCTTTTTTCTTCTGCATCATGTCACATTTGTACAGTTTACATCATGATTTTAATCTATATTATCCCAAGCACTTATCTATGTTGATATGTAGTCTTTGGGACCATCATTTTAATGACTGCATATTAATCCACCAAACTGTTACCTATTTCCCACATTATTGAGAATTTAAGAAGCTTCCAACAATGCTATAAAGAAGTTCTCTGTGCATATGTGCTTTTTCTCCTCAATACTTTGAATTTGGGGGCTGGTGGTGAGACAGGCTAAGTAACAGGACTGCCATAGCCTAAAGGCATTACAAGACTATTATAATACTGGCTGAGGTTCATAATGATGATCCTAATATATGAAGAGAAAAAGAAAATCATGTGGAAGTAAAAAATGCATTTCAGAAAGATTCTAATCCAAAATAGTTAATAAGTTTTGTAATTAAAGGGATCAGTTTCACAAGGGATAAGATTCACAATTCACAAATATGTATTTCTACCCCTGCTGTACAAAAGCATTACACATTTTCACGAACTTCCAAAACAGAGTATTTTGGGTCACAATAATAAAGTTCACTTTTTCACTACAATACTAACCTGATATTATTTACACAGTCTTCATGGGCTTCAGAAAGTGTTTTTATGTGCTTTGATGATATAGGGTCAAAAAGCAGAACTTCAGTCTGTTCACAAGCAACCGTCAGCACTGACCTGAAAGCAAATGACACATTTCTTTTGTTTAGTTTTCTAGTATTCTCTGGTTATTGATACTTATTTATTTGTAATTATGCAAACTATAAGTGAATAACTTCTTTTTGCCATGTTAGTAGGAAATATTTAAAATATTGATGATATCCACTATTGGCACTAGTAGGAAATGGTCCTCTCATACATTATAATGGAATACAAACTGGTAGTTTATGTTTGGGGAGTAACAGTATCTATCAAAGTTTTAAATGTGCATACCTTTTGACTCAGCAATTTTTTTCTGAGTATTTAATCTAGAGACATAATCATTCATAAATACAAAGTATATATGCTTCATTGTAAGGAGAAATTGAAAGAAACCTAAATGTATATAAAAGAAGGATGACTGATTTTTAAAAGAAAGGGGTAGTTTTATATGGATATGATATGAAAGAACTTCAAAACATATTTTTAAATGAGAAAAGCTGGTTGCAGAAAAACATGTGTAGATGAGGCAACTTAGAGGAAAAATCTTATACAAAATTATGTATTTATCAGTATTAAAATGCACTGAAAAAATATATATCCTATCAGTTAGATATAGTCATCTTTTTCTTATTTTTTTTAATACTCTCTATTTTCAAAACCCTTCCCTATTACAAAGTTATATTTTCATAAACCTTTTACAAGCCCCATTTTGATTTCTGAAAATCCATTGTCTCTTATTGATTTTGGTTAAGTCTAGTTTTTTGTGGGCACTGCTCTTTCAGATTCAGATCTAGCAAATGAAATCCCAAGTCTTTGAAACTACAGGTCTTCCCAATTTATAGTTCCAATAACAAGTGGAATTTTGTACACTTAAGCTGAAAGTGCATAAGATAGAATATCAAATAGTCAAACTTTTGTATTCAGAAAAAGCTTTTTAGATAAAGTTGGAGAGGGAAAAATTCAAACTTTTCCCATATTTAGTAATCATAAAATTGCCCTTCAAAGGGCGTCTGCATAAACACCATTTTTTGAGATAAGTGGACTTCAGATATTTACTATATCTGATGGACTTTTGTGCTAATTGATCATCATGAGTAAAAAGTATTCAAATTAATATCTATTAGATGATGTATAAACAGCCATTTCTTTTTGTTAGTCAGAAGAGTCATGGAATGGACTTTCCTCCTAGCATAAAAGTAAATGAATCAGCCCTGGCCGGTTTGGCTCAGTGGATAGAGCGTTGGCCTGTGGACCGGAGGGTTCAATTCTGGTCAGGGGCACATGCCTAGGTTGCAGGCTCCTCCCCACCCGGGGCCCTGGTTGGGGCTCATGCAGGAGGCAACCAATCGATGTGTTTCTCTCACATCGACGTTTCTCTTTCCCTCTCTTCTACTCTCCCTAAAAATCAACGTAAAAAGGATCCTCAGGTGAGGATTAACAACAAAATAAATAAAAAAATGACTTCTTTAAAAAAAAAAAAAGTAAATGAATCAACGATTCTGAGAGTCTTAACCTTAAACATTGTAAATAAGAGATCTATAAAACATTGTTTTGTTTTAATCCAATTATAATATATTTTTGTACATGGCATGAGTTGTAACCTTTAAAAAATATATATCATCCTTGGCTCAGTGGATAGAGCGTTGGCCCGCAGACTGAAGGGTCCTGGGTTCAATTCTGGTCAAGGGCACGTACTTCGCTCGGTTGCAGGCATGTACTCCCACCCTGGTCCAGGCTTGTGTGGGAGGCAACCAATCTATGTGTCTCTCTCACATCGATGTTTCTCTCTTTCTGTCTCTCCCCCTCCCTTTCACTCTAAAAATCAATGGAAAAATATCCTGAGGTGAGGATTAACAAAACAAATGTGTATATACTTTGTCCCCATATCAAAGCCTACATTTTCTCATTGGTTTGAAATGCCATCATTAACATATCTAAGTTTTGTTTTTATACTCTATGTTGTATTCTATGCAACATCACCACACTATTTTAATTTCTAAAAGTATTTTTGATATATGGCAAGATAGATAAGATACCCTCATTGCTTTATAAACATTTTTCAAGGGGCTAATATTATGCTTTCTCTTCCAAGTGAATTTTAGATATAGCATGTCAGGTCCTACTCAGACATCTTATTGGTATTTTTATTGGGATGCACTGACTTTAAAAATTAATTCAGTAAAAGTTATATCACACAGTATTGTATTATTCCATTAGTAATATGCATACTTTTCAACATATTCAAGATTTTCTTAGCAAGAATATCTTAGTAATTCTTGGACTTTGAATATCCTTATACATTTAGAATCAACTTAAGTTATGTACACACGCATACACACAAATCCAGATGGTTTTCGCAGTCGGCCTGGTGGTCAAATCCCTCTAGTTTTAACTACAACAATCAAGGCTTAACTAGAACAAGACTGCGCACAAAGACCACTAGGGGGTGCACCAAGAAAGCATAAAAAATGCGGAGACAAAAAAACATGACAGAAATGGAGGATATAGAGCTAAAAAACGCAATTTTGAGGGCTTGCAATAAACTTCTGGAGAGCCTCACGAAAACTAATGAGACCCTCGATGCTATGATAAAGAAACAACTAGAAATTAAGCATACACGGACTGAAATAAAGAATATTATACAGACACCCAATAGCAGACCAGAGGAGCCCAAGAATCAAGCCAAAGATTTGAAATGCGAAGAAGCAAAAAACACCCAACCGGAAAAGCAAAATGAAAAAAGAATCCGAAAATACGAAGATAGTGTAAGGAGCCTCTGGGACAGCTTCAAGCGTACAAACATCAGAATAATAGGGGTGCCAGAAGATGAGAGACAGCAAGATATTGAAAACCTATTTGAAGAAATAATGGCAGAAAACTTCCCCCACCTGGTGAAAGAAATGGACTTACAGGTCCAAGAAGCGCAGAGAACCCCAAACAAAAGGAATCCAAAGAGGACCACACCAAGACACATCATAATTAAAATGCCAAGAGCAAAAGACAAAGAGAGAATCTTAAAAGCAGCAAGAGAAAGAGACTCAATTACCTACAAGGGAATACCCATACGACTGTCAGCTGATTTCTCAACAGAAACTTTGCAGGCCAGAAGGGAATGGCAAGAAATATTCAAAGTGCTGAATACCAAGAACCTACAACCAAGAATACTTTATCCAGCAAAGCTATCATTCAGAATTGAAGGTCAGATAAAGAGCTTCACAGATAAGGAAAAGCTAAAGGAGTTCATCACCACTAAACCAGTATTATACGAAATGCTGAAAGGTATCCTTTAAGAAGAGGAAGAAGAAAAAGGTAAAGATACAAATTGTGAACAACAAACATGCATCTATCAACAAGTGAATCTAAGAATCAAGTGAATAAATAATCTGATTTACAGAAAAAAAAAAAAATCCAGATGGTTTTCATTGGATTATACCTCTATCAAAAAGTTTGCACAGAATTGACGTTTACAATATGTTGTCTTCCAATCTATGAGCATGGTATATCTACCTTTACCATGGATATTCTCCATATGAGCTATGCCTGTCTTTTGTTACATTTATTCCTGGGTACTTGACATTTTTTTATGCTTTTTACAATGTTCTTTTTAAAATTGAGCTTTGTTGCTGGTGTACAAAAATGCAACTGATTATTAAAATATCTATCAATATTGCTATTTTAATACTTTATCTGTAGGTATTTTAGTTTTTCTTTGTCGATAATATCATCTACAAACAATTGTTTTTTTCTTTTTTATTACCTTTTTTCCCTCGTGGCACTGGCTAGGTAGGACTTTCAGTACAATGTTGAATAGAAATGTTAATATAGCAGCCACTCTTGTCTTGTTCCTTCCAATCTTCAAGAATATATTCCCCATTTCATCATTAAGTATTCTGTAGTTTTTTGTCATTGAAGCTACCAAATTCCTATTATTTAGATTAAGGAAGTTCTCTTCTACAACAAATTTGCTAAGTTTCTTTTTCATTAAAATATGTTAAACTATATAAAACTTTCCAACATTAATTGAAATTCTCTCGTTATATTTTTCCTTTAAGATGTTAATGTAGTGATTTACATTAATTTATTTTCTAATGTCAAATCAACTTTTCATTTTTACCATAGTGCTAGATTTATTTGGCTAAAATGGTGAGCTCACATCTCTGGCTTCCCTCCTTTTGCAGCTCTTGGCCCCGCAATTTCCTCATTGTCTCAATTTTCCAAAGCCTTCCAAATAAGGTTTTTATATCTTACATTAAATATTTATATTTTTTCTAGTCTTTAAAATTATTCTCAGAGGGTTGGTCCAAACCATCTTCTTTGCTACTTCTGAAAAACTACAATCTCTACCTTTTGCATCTGAAGTCATGCCCCCCCAACCACCTTTTATTCTTTTTAAAAAATACATATATATTTTTATTGAATTCAGAGAAGAAGGGAGAGGGAGAGATAGAAACATCAATGATGAGAGAGAATCATTGATTGGCTGCCTCTTGCACGCCCCCTATTGGGGATTGAGCCTGCAACCTGGGCATGTGCCCTTGACTGGAATCGAACCCAGGACCCTTCCGTCCAAAGGCCGAGGCTCTATCCACTGAGGCAAACCAGCTAGGGCTCATTCTTAATATTGTATATTTATTTGGGCAGTCTCTTGATCAATGAGTGTTTTTCAATTTTATCTTTTCAAAGACACATTTTTCTCTCAATTGGGTACTGCTATGGAATTTTAAAATTTCACTAATTCACCCTGGCTGGGTAGCTCAATTGGTTAGAGCGTCGTCCGATACGCCAAGGTTTCGGGTTCAATCCCTGGTCAGGACACATATAAGAATCAACCAATGAATGCATAAATAAGTGGAACAAATCGATGTTTTTCACTCTTTCACTCTCTCTCTCTCTCTCTCTCTCTCTCTCTCAAAAATAAAATTTCACTAATTCTATTTTGTTACTGAATTTCCTTCCTTCTCCTTTCTTCAGATTTACTCTGCTATTATTTGCAGATAACTATTCTTTTTCTTGAGATGGATACTTAGCTCATTAATTTTCCCTGACGTACTATTTTACTTACATATAACCCTACAAGTTTTGAGACATGTGGTACTTCCATTATTATTTAGTTTTAATTTCCACTGTTATTTTTTCCTTTGGTCCATGAGTTATTTATAAATGTTTCTTAACTTGAAAACACAGGAGCTTTTTAATAGTTATTTATTAATTTATAGCAATTACATTGTACTAGAAAAACTGTACTCTAAGATAATCTTTTGAAATATGTGGCCTTAAAAGTGGAAATTTTATGAATTTCCTTTATGTGTTTAAAAAAAAACAAGCATGCCAGACCGGTTTGGCTCAGTGGATAGAGCGTCGGCCTGCGGACTCAGGGGTCCCGCGTTTGATTCCGGTCAGGGGCATGTACCTTGGTTGCAGGCGCATCCCCAGTGGGGGGCGTGCAGGAGGCAGCTGATCTCATCGATGTTTCTGGCTCTCTATCCCTCTCCCTTCCTCTCTGTAAAAAATCAACAAAATATATTAAAAACAAACAAACAAAACAAAAAACAAGCATGAAGTAATTGTAACATATAGTCAAGTATGATATTTTAAAAAGTTAAACATTTATTAGTAATATAAATTAACATGAGTAAAATTAAAAATATTTTAGTAATCCTATAGATTATAAAAATGCTTGCCAAGTGATGTTAGTTGTAACTCAAATTATTCAACAAATTATTCTAGTAACTTCCAATCATTTATTAATATTTGGAAATTGTAGCCACAATCTTGTTTGATCCAGATGCCCTTGTCTGAACCATGGACATAGAAAATTGCATAAAGCCCCTCCAAGAATTTCCCCATTAAATAGGTAGTCATTATGTAACTTGTAGTCTTGATAAGTAAAAAAAAAAAATCACTATTAACATTAACAGAATTGTGCATCCTTTTTAACTTTTGCTGAATAGTGTATTAATTTTTTAGTCCTTATAATGCTTGCTGTTAATTTTCTATATTCAATATGTATTCATATTAATAACTAAGTGACAAAAGTAATTTATTGAGATATCATATTTAAGTGTATCAAATCTAATCCCTCAGCCCAGATGACAGGTAAGGTAATATATGGCAGTTATGAGTAGAAGTCAGGGTAGAAATCCTTTGTATATGATAATCTTTTTGCTTCTCAGTTCCCTCAACTAAATGTTTCTGGTACAGAGAAGAGTTATGTTGGCAGTCATTTTCATTAATAAAATGGGTGTTATTAATACCCATGGTGGGCTGGCATTCAGTGAGTTTTGGCAAATTTATCTCACTAAATAATGGTGAAATTCAATAGGAATGATAAAATTAGGGATCTGCATCCCAGGAGTCATTTACCCATAAGCCATTCCCTTAGGTCTCATTCCTCTGTTATAGATTTTATCCTGCCATAGAAGTACACACTATGCCAAGAGTTAATATGCTTGGATAGTACCTGAAGTAGTATTATTACTCTCATTTGACTGCTCTCTTCATTTCTCCCCAGAGGATGCAGTTCACAAAAGACCATATGAAAATGGGAAAGTGCTTGATAAAGGCAGGCAGCCCCACACTAAGAGAAGCCAAATGGTCACTGGGCACTTGCCTATGGATTTGTTTTGTGTGGAGGGGTGAGGAGCGATTAGAATGAATGTTAATTGTATATTTGGGCATTCTCTTGATCAATGAGTGTTTGCTGTGAGATGTTTG